TTTCCCTCCTACTGAGCTCGTAAGTTCCAAACCCCCAACACAATTTGTATTGTTCATACAAGCACAACAATAAGTCTTCCAGCATCCCCACAACCTGGTTCACTGCATTCTTACACATCTGCCCCAGGTCCCACCATTTGTTCTCCACTTGTATTCTCTGCTACACCTCAAATAAAAGTTCTCTCTCTCTCTCATTTAAAGAAAACTTTATTGTTTTAAATGTTGTCAATAGTAGTACCTTGACAAAGCTGGCCCCGGGGGGGGGAAATCAAGCAAAAGCAAGCAGCTTACAAGGCTATACACTGCTGCTAAGGCTAAAAACCAAACAGCTTCACATTTCAAAAACTTGAAAGCATGTATAGCAGAAGTCCCTACAGAGAAAGATCACCTGTGCAGGCCTGCAGGGCTAGGCATTCAATGTTATAACCTAAGGGAAGTGTGTATGAAACATGCATAGACTGACCTTAGGAGACAGAGGAATTCCCAAGCCAGGAAGGGTGTACCCAGACTTCAGCTTGTTAAATTTTGGCTGCCCAAATCCAGAACCCAAACAGAGGCTTAGAAGTTTACATTTCTCAAGAGAGACTCCCAAGGCTTCCCAGACCAGGTGACGCTGGGGGCTGTCATTGAGGAGTGGCTGGAACACTGGCCACTCAAACCATCATGCTACCTCCCCACTGCTACCTCCTGGCCCTCCGAGATGTACAATCTGGTTCTCAGAGGTGTGTGGAGTACCACTATATACCACCTAGCTTTATACTCTTCATCCATTTCCAGCAGACCAGCACAAATGCAGCTGTAAGTCTCCCAAAGATGTATTCTGTCATCAGTTTGCAACTTTTAAGGCAACAGTTGTTTTTTTTTTCCTGTGATCCTGTTTATCACTCAACATCAGGTCTTATCAGCCATGACACCAGAGGGTAGACAGGGATCTCAAGGATAAGGGGAGGGATGCTCATGATATTAAGAGGAAGATTAACAGGAGTTCTACCAAACAGTCCTCTGTTCATTAAAGCAAACAGGCAGATGTGGCCGAACGTTCTAGCATCAGATCCTTCTCCAGGCTGACCTGCATTAATGTGAATGAACCAGTTGTCATGATCAACAAGACTTTGAGGTGCAAGAGAAGAACCCTTTCCTATTTAGGAAAGATAAGGTCTAACTGGATTGGGAATGTGTCTCCAAGGCAACTGGGGAACCCCATCCATGGAAAGATGTCAATATTCTCTTTAGGTTTTGCAAGTCTTAACACACAGAAAAACCTTTTCCATGGTGGAACATGCCTCCTGCACAGCAGCCCTAATGATTGGGGTTTACACTAAATTGATCTGCAACAGACAAGTAGGTTGTGAATGTACAGATGATTATGGCTATATCCTTCTCTATGAGGGGAGGAGGGGGAGGGAGAACCCAAACCAAGAAGTCATATGTTGGTATGCAGTTTCTACAGTTGTAGACTTAGATCAGTTGATTCCAGGAAAATGGCCTTCCTGACCCTCTCCAGGCACTGCTGATCACCACAGCTCTGCAGTACAATTCTATCCCAACGGTTCACATTTGTAGCTCAGACCTGGAATCAGTGATCCACTGACCAAAGATGGTCTAGGGCAAACCCTTCCGATTTATCTGGATTCCATCATACCTGGCTGTCTCATCACCATCATATATCAGCAGGCCACTAAGGACCATAAACTGCTATGTAAGGGCAGCCATTGCCATAAACTCAGCTGCTGACATGTCTAATGCAACTTTGACCTTTGCTATTGCCCACTGATGCAATGAAGGGCTACCCCAGGTGTTTTAACTGGCAGTCAAAACCCTCAGTGCTCCAGATCTGTTGAGCATTTCTCTATTAGCACACTAGCTAGCTTGCAATGAAGTTCATCTATTCTTATGTTCCTATAGTTTGAAAACAGTGCACACTCAGAAGAGGCCACAAGAGGAATAATGGGATTTTTAGCACTGGATCCTCAGATATACAACACAGATTTTCTGCCACCTTCTAGTACACATCCTATCCTGTGATACAGCAACTTTTCCTTAAGATATGAGGCCCTGGAATGACCACGCACTGCTGTTGGTGCAACCCAGGCCAACCTTCTCCCCACCAAGCAAAACAGAAGAAATGTTCTATTACTGCAAGTCAGCTAACTCGTTATGGCATTTGCCACCAAGCTGTTAGTGCCAGGCCTTTCCCCTCAAGGCTTCCCGTCTTGAGGCAACTCCATTAGGTGTACCAATGAGGCACTGTTCTCACCAAAATTAAGAAGCCAAAAGAACAAGTGATGGCAATGCCTACTCTGAGCAGAAACAAAAATCTAGGGAGGTAACACACCTGAAACTGGATAAATGCCTGAAAAAGAAAGCCTGTCCCTCGCATTCCATCTTGCAGATTTGAGCACTGAAGACTGCATAAAAAGTCATCAGGAGAAGTTAGGGGTATTTATCATGGTTACCTTCTTACTAAGGTTCTCTCTCTGCTACATACAAGACATTTTAAGTCAGAACCTGTAATCATGCAAAGAAAATCTACTGCATTGATAAAGATGCACCAATAGCATATTGTACATCAGATGCATCTACTTCAATTTGAAAGCTGACATAGGTGAAAACAGCACTGTTTACTGTTTTCCTTGGAGGTTTGCAATACACATATCTTTTCCTATTTCGCACATACTGGATTCAGAGGTTTGTAGAAATGAGGTAGTTCGAAGCCACGTTTTAAGCTTGAGAACATAGACAAACAGAGATTTTCTTTCCCCATTTAATTTGCTTTGTTTTTTATATACAGGTGTCCAAAAACTAAATCCAGATACCCGTGTAAAGTGACAGGAAAATCTGAAAGATTGTGAACTGGAAGATTTTTTTTCCTATTCAAGGAATATACCAGACTTAAAATCTGAATGTATACACAAAATGAACTCCAACAGGCTAAGAACAAATTAATCATAAAGTGCATAACTAGCTGTACCAAAAGGTAAAAAAAAAAAAAAGTAATGGGTATTCTTAAGTCCACTATTTTTTAGCATTTTTCCTCTGTAGCTCTTAAAGGTATTAAAGAAGATATAAAGCCATTGGAATGCAGCATGAGAACATCAACCTTTCCTCTTCTTAATCATTAACATTGATACAGTTTCAATGATCAATTTTTTAAAATGTCTCAGCAGATGAGCTATAGCCAATCATATTCTTATTCATACTTCCCGGAAAAACTATGCACTAACTCCTAGAAGTTTGAGAGAATGGCTCCTTATCACTGGTCTATGCTACTGATTTCCAGATTAAGATGTTCTTCCCTAGGACTAAAGAAAGAAGTATGCAAAAATTTCATCAGAAACTTTTTAAGAGTAGAATGAGTTATCTCGCCCCACCATCTGCAAGAGGTTTGCAAAGCCATTTGTAATGTTTCGAGAATATTTTATTCAACTGGTGCATGAAGAAGGGGCATTCTTCTGTCTTAGTGGGTCATTTGTTTCAATTTATAAAGCTAAATTGAACATCTACCCCAAGCTCTAGGATCCCTAGATAGTAAAGGACAGATAAAAACAAGTCCAACAGCCAGGCCTGACCAAACAGAAACAGCCAAACCCTTAGAGCAATAAAGATATGAAATATTTTGCTGAACTGCAGCCATCCTCCCCTTCCTCAACAGCCCTGATAAAATGGTGTGCTCTACCTCCAGTGTGTGACTGCCGCATCAGGCTACTTCAGGCTGAAGTTCTTTACACAGTACAAATGACAAGGGGAGATGGTTCTAAAAGCTAGTGCCCAGGACAGAGAATATCCTCAGTTCTAAATCCACCCCTCTTCTCAGCTTAGCACTCTAACTGAAGCACCTCCACTTCTCTCAGCTGCAGAACTATCATACACTGAGAGCACCTGTTCTATGCAGGCAGGTCACAAACTGTTTAAGCAATCGATGATTTTTCTACTTAACTGTCAGTATACATAACATACGATTACAATTTGGCATTTGCTTAATTCCAAAAGAAGAAAGAATTATTTTGGAAGCCACTTACTTCCTCTTGGTGCCTCAGAGACCAGCTTCCCTTTACAAAACCAGCAATCTATACACGGTAGTTCAATGAATACTGCAGTGACAATATTCTTCCTGCTAATGTTGGACCTCCCAGGCAAACAAGCTGTAGCAAGTCAATTACGACATGTCAAACCCACCTCATCATCACTGTCTGAGGTCTCAGAATCTGAAGATGCTGTAGGTTTGCTCACAGGTGGCTCCTTCTCCTCAGAGTCGCTGCGTTTCCGTTTGGCCAATGACAGGAGCTCCTAGTGTGAAAAACGTATGCTTATTTTTAAGCCAAAGAACTGGGTCGACCAATATTGATTCTTACATTTGCATCCCTCAATAGCATTCAAGTGCTTTCCAAAAGCAGTATGTCTCCCAGTCAGTGCGAGTTGAATTTTCTACATGGTACACACAGATACTTATTACATATCAAAGCTGGGAATAGGTTTGCAAGATGACAAGCCCTAAATGCCAAATATTACTACTAGCTTATTTTGTAAAGATATACAACATGAGGGATAACTACTTTCACAGCTGGATTACTTGTTTCAGACATGGAAGGCAATGAGTGGCACGCAATCAAAGACCACCTGCCTCCAACTCAGTGGATTCTAACTGGGAGCCGCTCGCAGGGGTGCCACTGCCAGGGCAATATGCCCCACATACCATCTGCAGAGGCAGGTGGGTAAACAACTGCAGTTGGAGTCCGGGCTCTTCCTGGTCTGACCCCATGCAGTCCCCCTAGAAAGAGATGCACCAGGAATGTGGGACTATCCTGCACCCCTCTGTTTCCAGAAGAAGCATGTGAAGTCAGACTGGAAAGGACTGTGGTAAGTGTGTGCATTCTGGCCCATTTCGAGAGGCCATGCTGAGCTGTGGAACAGCCCTTTAATCATCTGGCCTGCATCAGTCCCCAGTCTACACTGCTCAGACAGGAGAGCCAGGCTGGTCTACAGTAGCTCTTTGCACTACTTGGCTGGAGGAGCTGGGTGTGAGGACACCCAGGGCAGGCAAGACCCCCTGCCCCCCCTGCAAGCCCCAAGGGCCCACGGGAGTTTTTCCAAGGGTGTAAAGCTCATTAGTCATGCCTCCATTCCTGTCTGCAGGAAACCCTAATACAAGAAGCACACTGCAGCACCTGGCTGTGAAGTACTATGAAGGCCTACCTGCGTGCAACACTGGTTCTCAATCAAGGGTGCTGCCAAATTTTAAAAAGTTGTTGAGGGACATCCCAACTCTTAAAGAATTGACAAACACTGCTCTAACTATTCAGATGTAGATAATCCCTGAGCAGTCTCGCTTTTTGTAGTTATATGCTTTTATGGTAGTTGCTTTAAAGCCTGAGACAGTGACTTATACATCCTAACTGGACTATTCCTTTAACAGAGTCCAGACAGGTCTGTCCATTTTTCTACCCATCTCAAAACTACAGTGAAGCATATAAAGACACTTGTATCACAGGTACCAGACTGGAAGACTAAAATTAAGCAGTTGCTCTCCACCAGTTCAGAGTATTAGTGAGCACCCAACAAATACTAGGCTTGGGAAAAAAAAAACCACACCAGATACCAACTATTCAGAAGATCGCATCTATTAGCAAGACATATCAAAAAAAAAAAAATTAAAATCAAAGGATCCGCTATCAGGGTCTACATGCAACATCCCTGATGGACAACTCTGCTGTCTGCCCCGCTCTGCAACTAAGATAGTCAGGGTGATGGGATTCCTACCATAGTACACGGGGCTTCATCTCCTGTAGGTATCTAGAAATAAATCAGCAGTGTCAAACCTTCCTTTTTTGTTTCTTCTACTGGTTGCTGCAAGGATGAATTGTCTCTAGTGCCCTACCCTTACTTCTGCTGTCTGTGCCCTGCTATCACATGAACATTTTCACTACCTGCTGCTGCTCACAACTTTTTCAAACATCCACCAGAATCTAAAAGGATTCTGGAGTTTCACTGTTGCTAAAAGGATTGTGAAAAGCATCAGTAAAACATTTCAGACTCTTCAAAGTATCACAAAAAATGCTTTTGCTAAGTTTAAGCTATCAGAGACCACCTAATCACATGGGGACTGCTACTGTCTTGGGACAACAACACTAAACATGGTTTTTATTGGTCTTAAACAAGAAGATAATCTTCACAGCCCCAGAGGTTAGAACTTCATTTTTCAAATAAGAGATTAAATTCTGCAGATGACTTAGACCTCCTCAACTCACCAGGAAAGCTTTCACTGGCAAGTGGATTTATCAGGTCTCTCTGTGCAGGCCCGTAACATCAGAAAGGCATCTCCTTAAGAGGCACAGATCCCTAGTCTTTGTTAGAACTATGTCCCCCTGCTTGCAACAAATTGGCTAAATGGCACCCTCACCTCACTCCCATGAGTGCTTTCTTATGTAGTACCTTGGACCAGCTATGCTCTCCTTTTAACCGTGTCAATATTCCTTTGTTACCCTACTTATCCTTCCTCATTTTCTTTTTTGAGAAACCTGTATTGTAAGGGTCCCCCCTCCTTAAGTTTCTAAAATGCTACATGCTGCTAAAGGCAGAGGCCAAGCATCCTCCAATGCCCTTTTTGGCATAGGCTTTCCTAATCAAGTCACAGAAAAGGCAGGGCAGGGTACCACCATTAACACAGCTAATTACATCCCTTCACAGCATCTCCAACTTGCTTCGGGAAGCTTAGCCTCTCTGCACTAGAGAGTCTACAATGTGCTGCTCTGCCCTGACTTTGGGCTACTACAGCTGACTCCCTCTCTAGTTAAGCCATGTATCATAGAAACCAAATTTCCCCTCTCCGCTACCTAAGTCCAGTCAGCAGGAGCTGCTGTGGCTCAGCTGCCCTAGAGCTCTCCATGGGACAGAATGCAACCACCTACTTCTTCACCTGCCACGGAGGAAGCATAGGATACAAGATCACTCCCCTCCTCCCCCCCCAGCCTATGCCAGCCCCTACGCATCCCAGCCTAGGGTTAGCCCGACTCCCTGTGCTCTTGGGTGGCAAGACACGGTTTTTAAGTTTTTAAGGCAGTTCGCCACTGAGAAAGGCCCAACCTGCTACAGGCCCAAGTTTACTCGTGATGCTGAGAGACACGAGACCCGCAGTGCTTCTCACCCCTTGCTGGAAGGTCTGCGTGACAGGAGGCAACTCTGGCTCAAGTGACACTGGGGCAGAAGCCGGGAAGCCTCCCTCCCTGCCCCCCCACGGCACTGACAGCTTCTCCCCCCAGGCCGGCGCAGGCACAGGCCGCCCCCAGAGGCTTC